AGAAAAAGAAGAGGCAATGGGAAGAAGAATAGAAATAGAGAAAAATGAAGACAATTAAAATCTGAAAGATACAAAAGGCAAGAGACGGAGAAGAAAAGAGAGAACCGGACAAAAAAAAAACGGAAAGAAGGCTGCCTAGTTCCACACTTCCTTCGGGCTTGGCATCATTAGGGCGATGCTACCCAATTTTTTTACATTTGTTAGAGACAGGAACATGAGACTTGTACGTATAAGACTCGTACTTTATCATTTAAAAATGTTGATTACCAGGATATATTTATTAGCACAGCAGTTACGCTCAATGTTTGCCATGTTTTGTAGATTGTAAACTGTGATCACCACCAACCGGCACATGCTCAATAGCAGTTGTACAGTTGGATCACCACAGCAGCTGAAACAGGTGTTCACGAACCCTCGAACAGCCATATATTGTACAGTATAGCAAGGCGTGAAAAGGGGACAATGAAGAGGATCAAAAGCCTGCCAGAAGCAGTTAGGTCCTCACCAGCTCTGCTGTGAAAATGTAGGAAGCGAAAAGGAAGGAGAAAACATTACGCCACATCAGTAAAGCCGAACGTGTCGGTCACACACGTGTTGAAAACGTCAGTGTCTGTGGTAGGTTTTAGTATTCTCGGTGAAGTTTCACTTCAGAACAGACTGTGTCAGCGTTTTGATTAGAAGCTACTGAGCACCATACCCCAAATTGTCGGCAAGTCTCGTTGCTTGCGTGATCGTGACAAAAACGGTCATATCTTGAGCCGACACTGCTGGTTTCAAAGCGGGTTGGCTTGCAAAAGCATGGTCATGCTCCCACCTTTCTTTTTCATTCCTTCATTGTTGTGACCCCCATTTTTTTATTTCGTTACTTAAAATCATACACATGCACTCTGAGCAGCGAAACTATGCATGCCTTGGCAAGCGCGTTGGAGTGACTCAAGCCTTTTAAAAAACTTGAATCACTCTGGGTACGCGAGCTTTTTTCCCTTCATTTTTCTGCATGCATATTTTTTTAACAATATCTAGGGCAAAATTAGTTGATTTCATATACTTCACACCAGTTTTGTATGCTTTTGACCAAAACGTTCCCTAGGAAAGGGTGCTTTTATTAATTATTTCTGTATGGTATAAGCCTGTACTACCCTTGTTTTTAAACATAATTTTTTTTCTTGCGATCACGTTTTTTTTGTATTTTTTCAAGCTGGGTGCATCTTTTTTCAAAAGCTACTTGATTGTTCTAGCTCAAATTGTGCAAGATAATACCTAAAGTTTCTACAAAAAGTGTAAACACAAAACTTTTTGACTTTACTTTATGATTGACAAAAAGCACACTGGAAAATCACTCAAACTGCACAGAAAAAGTGAATAAGACATTTCTTTTTTGAGAAATAAATATAGCAGCATATTTTGATAAGTACAAGTTCATAGCGCTATCATGTTGAATAAGCGTGTTGAATTTCATGGTAATACAGTTCTTGGTTTTTAGACCAGGTTCACTTAATTTTCTACAACAGTCTCACATATGCTACTCAGCCAGAAGCAAGTGAAAAAAAGCTGCAGGAACAAACTTGCACAAACACAAGGTTACCATCGCTCTGATTGAGCGGTCAAATTTTATAACAAAATATGTTGAAGTTCGTGTTTACCATACAATACTCTCTTGAAGACACACTAAACGAAAAACAGTTTGTTTTGTTCGTATTCGTAAATTACTTCTTCACAATACCAACTAGACCACACTAATGCGAGAAGATGCTTGTTAAGCGACGAAATGTGCTAAACAAAAACGTAGGTGGTGATGCCACAGTGAAGTGGCTGCACCAGTCGTGGCAGTCATACATTTTGAACGCATCTAGTTGGCCCAAGGTGCCAGTTCCTAAATGGCGAAACTGTAGTACATTGTCATATGAGGTACGGGTAGACCTAACATACTGAGTTTACGACAATTTTGTTCAGCTTACGTGGCCAAAATGTGAGAGGACATATTGAAATCAGTAACATCAACATAAAATATTTCGGAGCAAAATTTAAAAGTGAAAAATTTTACAATGCTTTTCTCATCTATAATTAAACCTATGGCGGTAAAATGAATGGTACTGCAGTCTTCAGAGGACAAATTATTACTTCACAGTACAAACTGTTGTGTCGCTTCTGTGTTTCTCTCCAATAAAACAGCCCATTTGTAGAAGCAGCAGACTAACATGTTTTGAGATAGCTTTTAAAGGTTCTCTTTTTATACCATCAACACATGTTTCGTAAGTATTCTGCAAATTCAGAATCAAAGAGTATATTTCAGATTCATTAATGAACACGAGAAAAATTCATTTTTTTCTATTTTCGCAATTTATGGTTCACAGCCTGCATTGATGTGAGTGGCGATTTTAGAAGCTCGAAATTTAAAATAAATCTGTTCAATGTTGATTGATTTGTCGGGTTTAACGTCCCAAAACCACCATTTGATTATGAGAGACGCCGTAGTGGAGGGCTCCGAAAATTTTGACCACCTGGGGTTCTTTAACGTGCACCCAAATAATCAGTTCAGTGTATCAGCAAGTAAGGTACCGGAGCAATATTTGCCTTCTATAACAAGCTTGGTGATAGTCTGCTTGTTTAATGAAAGTGGAATATACTGCAATGCATTGGAAACAGCCTTTTGATCCTTCATATTATTGGCGAATCTATGTTTCGCGTACCCCCTTCTTACCAAAGCCTACTTTATTTCAGAACTATATTTGACCTACAGCAATTACTCAGGATGTTCAGTTTTCATGAGCATGGTTAAGGGGTTATGCCTTTTATTTCCTTCTTTTTAGCAGCTACATATTCATTCAGATCTTCCTACCTTTCTCTTCGTTTTTAATAGTGCAACAGGAAAAGCTCGGTCATAGAGCTGTATCATTTTCAACATAAATGTATTATACGCTTGCATAGGGTGAGAAATTTGCAGTGCTAAAACAATGCTGATATGCATAATCAACCAGAGCTCTACACATTATCGTATTCGTTTTGTAAACACAGGAGCACGTTTCGAATGAAGATTATTAATAAGGTATGAGGGACAATCAGGAGCAAGAAAGGTTCCTTGTTCTCAATTTTTACTCGTACATATCACCAAAAAGTTGTGAACAGCTGATTTTCTTCGTTTAGAAAATAATGCACCACGTTTCAAATGATGGTTTAGAGGATGGTATCAATGACTTCGTTCACAGAAAAAATGCATGCTGTATTCCGTAAGACTAAAATAGTGAACATCTAGATTATGTAAATTCTGTTATTTTTTAATATTGCTTACTGCTTAAGTTGACCCATCATAGACGTTTTCTCAGGAAAAAAAAACTTCAAAATACATAAAAACGTGCAACAGAGCATTGCGAGCTCATGGCTTACATATGATTCTCCATGCCTGCGTTTAAATATACATATTTTGTATGGGCTTCTCTAAATTCGCATGCTATATATGTTCTGATGAAAATCCCCCAAAAAGCATGCAATAAAGTTGCGTTTCCCCGCTGTGACCACTTTTTTTTACCGAAGTCTATGTTATCATTACTGGAGACACTGGAAGTCGTGCGTACGCGTAATCTAACTACGTTTTTCACATTTAGAATGCAGGAACTCATGTGTTAATATCTACAGCTTTTACGAGCATTTAATATTATTGAACTCGAATTAGTGGTAAGTTCCAAATAAACAACTGCCAATATGTTCAAGTTCGTAATTACGACTACCCTTTTTCAAGAGTTGACCATAAGTTGGTGAACGAGTCGATTTGTGTACTGTCACCATGAATTTCTTTGTGAGTTGGGCCACCATGGCGGGTAATTATTGAGCTACTTAGCTTGCAATCCGATTCCAAAAACGTGGAGTCGATTACGGCCACAGCGGCGACATTCTGATGGCGGTGAAGTGCACTGTGTCATTTCTGTAGAATGCGTGATTTTAATAAGCGCTGAAAATAACCCCAATTGTTCAAATCGATCCGGAGACCTTCACTACCGCGTCTCTCGTATACTCTGAGACTAAGGTTTGTGTGCACGTTGAAGAACTCCAAGTGATCGAAATTTCTGGAGCCCTCCACTACGGCGTCTTTAGTAGTCGCATGGTGCTTTTGGGACGTTAAAGCCACATATCAGCCAATCGTATACTCTGAGTACCATTCTGATGCCAAGCCTGGTAAACCCACTAAACTGTCGTTGTGACTTCTACTAACTGTTTTAACTGCCACGATTGCATAGCTTCAATATTAAGCCATCCGCACAGATTGTTATATGTTTTTAGGTTTTATTTTAGTTGTTTATGTACAGTATGGTCATTGTAAAACAAACTGTTTATAATAAAAATTTTTACTGTCGTGTTTATTTAAATTGTTATTAGAACTACGGTAATTATTCTACCTATTACTGTGTTGTCCCGGAGTCATGGAAAAAACATGAATAAAAGAAACCTAAATTAGAGTTATAGTACCGAAAATATAACGTAGGTAGTAACGGAAAAAAGCAATTTATTAACAGGACTGAACCAATTAGGACTCTGTGTATGAAAAACATAGGTCTACGCATGATGTAACTACGCTCACTTCGCAACTTTATTTTTCACCACGTTAGAGTATATCTAAAATGTATATATCAACAAATCTAGTTTTACAGCTGTCGCCGCACTCAATCACTTACTTTTTAAAACATAAGGAAAGCAACACAATCTCGTTTCAATATCAGGTGCTACTGTATTTGTGCGACTGGAACATCGCGTCCATCTCTATGTCATCTGAGCTCAAATTATCCCCTCTGACACTCTCATCGCATACTGCAGAGGAATGAGCGCAAACTTCTTTTCTTACACCCAAAAAAAGTATTTAACGCCTACCAAAGCTCAACCTAAGACAGTCCACAAATAATTGAAGCACTTTTTCATCGCAATTCTCAGCAGCCATTTCAGCATGACTTCACATAAGGCATAATGTATTCTAACGCAAGCGACTTTGTTTCAGTCCACTCACTTCTGCCCTCCACCCAGTAAAGTGCTTATTGAAACATGTATACCTTCATTATTCGTGAAGGCTCATTCCGTATTCAAGAAAATTCAATGAGGGATGGCGATCCCTATGATAAGCTTTTTCGAGTATCGAATTATGAAAATATGTGAAAAGAAAACTGAACAAGCGTGTGGTTTTTTTTTTTGTGCTGCAACATTTATTGCACAACAAAACAGTTGAATGTCCATCGGTGTTCGTGAGGGAAAACAGATGTGTTGCCAAGATCGAGAAGGGTCCGAGCGTCGTTTCTGAAAAGATAAAACACAAAATCCCGGACTCAGTAAGCCATCTTGATGCAAGAAGTGACCCAAAAGAAAATATTTCATGGGCAACATTCTCCTCTGAAATCCCACAAAAGTTAACAGTCACTGATCTCTTTACCTCAGGGTGTAAAAAATTCATGCTTTTCACGATAACCTACCCTAGCAAGGTGAACCTCGAAGCGATCTGAAACAAAGTATATGGGTATTTCCTTGTAGGGTAATCCTAACTAAATAATAAGCAAGGTATATAAAAAATAAACAATTGAATTTCCAGATAGGCCAAACTCCCAAACTTAGTCCTTATAGTTTGAAACGTCGTTTAACCTCACTATTTGTTTCCGCCGGCAATAAAATTGTAGTGTTAGTGTTATATCTCTGTGTGAATTTTGTTCTTTCGCAATATAAACTAAGGTACTTTTTTTCTTTAAATTCACTGTATCAGTCGCAAAGACGTTCCGACGACTAGCGATTCCGCAGCTGCTCACCTTTAGCCGTGAATGCCATAACCAACTCCACCGAAGCCACCAGCGGCTCCATGGAGGCTCTTGCCAAATCCAGCCTGTTGTCCAGCTGCACCGTTGACGTATCCCGTTAATCCCTGCTGGTGGCCAGTGCCGAAAGTCTTTGTATCGCTAGCAGAGAAGCCAGAGGTGTAGCTGTAGCCCTGCTGGCTGTTGTAAGCCTGCACGTTCCTGTGGATGGTACCTCCAGCGTACCTTCCCGAGCCCTGGGCATGGCCAGCGGCTCCCTTCTGGAAGCCGGCTTGATCGCCACCGGCAACAGCTCCGTGTGCAGCTCCGTAACCATCTTCGTAACCACCTCCGAAACCAACTCCAATGTAACCGGGTTCTCCGAGGCTTACTGGAACGACTGCCGGCGCATATACTTCAGGTCCAACTATGCCAACAGGAGCAACCACACCTGAACCAACTACGCCAGCAGGTCCCCCGTAGCCGGACGCGACGACACCAGAACCAACGGTTCCAAGGAGAGCCGGATTACCAGCGCCGACCAGTCTTTGGCCATAGCCATCATATACAATGAGACCCGGACCTCCAAGAAGACCACCACGGCCTTCGACGTCCTCTTTTTCTTTTTTGGCAGTAGCCGAGCAAGCCAGAAGGGTGAAGACGGTTACAACGAACAGCTGTCACGTGAGAGATAAACATATGCAAGGCGCAGTGAGAACGATGTTTTATGTTAGAAGTCCACTGTGCATTTATTTTATGTTAGAAGCCCATTGTGCACCTCTCTCGTTGTGCATTTACGTGACATTGAACGTGCTTATTCAGATTCACCCCATACCCTCTTGTGCAGATTCAGGAAAGAGTAGTTACTTAGGTCTGGTAGGTAAAACCTTACTTCAGCAATAACAAAACATTCATAACTTATTTTGTTTCTTCATTCCTTTCTTTTTCCAGCAGACTAAAAGATGTGTTTTTTACTGATATAAAACATTCATAAATATGACAAGAAATGATGCTTTTTAAGGACATCCAACCATGACGCTCACTGCGACAGCCTCTATGAAACCAGTAATATTTATGAAGCCATAACTACTTATTACTGCATTCGTATCAGAAGAGAAGGAATGAGATGAATGCAAGGGATTCGATAGGTTATTGTTGAAACTTAGGTTAGCCCAGCCTTAACGTTCTTTTCGTCCACATCAGGTTCAGGAATGGGTTTACGTCATTAACAAATGATTCATGATCAAGAATTTGAGCGATGTCAGTAGGCAGAACGTTCCATGAACAAATGGCGATGAGAAGTGGTGACTATTAGAACAAATTTTTGTGAGCGAAAATGGGTTCAATTTTATGCTGGTGGTATAGTCGTGAAGATATATGTCCAGCTGCTCTGATATTGACAGTATTGTTGGATGACTGATTGTAGTGTAACTTATCAAAGAAACACAACAGTGTCAACATCCTGGGCTTTCCTAATGAGGCTAAGTTGAGTGAAGAATTAGTGCCAGTTACGCTTGACGTGCGTAAGTAGTTTTCTTTAGATAAAACGGGCAGCCTTATTTTAGACAGACTCTAGCTTTTGTATGAGGTAGGCCTGATGCGGATTTCAGATTAAGGAGGCGTATTCTATTTGTGGGCGTACTAGGGTTTTATAAGCGATGAGTTTAGTCTCGGAGTTCACCATATGCAAATTTCGCTTAATGAAGCCAAGTGATCTGGATGCTTTGCTAACAATTGTGTCTATATGAGCATTCCATGACAGATCTGATGATAAATAAACACCAAGGTTCTTAGTTGCGGATACAGATTCTATGGGCACGTTGCTCATTGTGTAGTTGTATAACACCGGGTTTACCAACGTTCTGAACCTGCTAGCTTTTGTTTTATTCACGTTAATTTGCATTTGGCAAACATTGCACCAATTACTCATATTTGCTAGGTCACACTCAATGTAGCAGGCATCCTGAGGGATAGTAAATTGTCGGTAAATCACGCAGTCGTTGGCAAATAATCTTACTGTGGAATCCATACCATTACTGACATAGTTAATATAAACTAAGAACAAAATAGTCCCGAGCGCAGAGCCCTGCGGTACGCCATATTTGACGCGCATTATCGTAGGTGAATGGTCATTAACAAAGACGAACTGGAACCGGTAAGCTAAGAAGTTTGTAATGAACTTAAGAATTTTTGTATTTACGTTGAAACCTGTAAGTTTATGAACAAGCTGCAAGTGAGGGACCTTTACAAATGCCTTCTCAAAATCAACAAATATGGCGTCAGTTTGATGCATGCAGTGAATAGAGCCAAGCAAGTCAATAATTCATTTGAACAGTTGCGTTTCACGAGAACGACCATGGAGAAAACCATGTTGGTTGATAAAGAAGAAGTTATGTTCCGTAAGAAGCTTGTTTACAGCGGATGAAATTATATGTTCCGAGAGTTTGCAACATGTGCTAGTTAAGAAAATCGGTCTGTAATTGGATGGGTTACATGGGTCACCAGATTTAAATATGTGAATTACACGAGCTTCCTTCCCATCATCTGAGACACATCCCGTGTCAATAGACTGCTAAAAAAGTGTACCTAAAATCTTGCATATGGCAGGTTTTGACATTTGGAGAAGCTAAGGGCAGATCCCATCAGGATCAGGAGCCGAGTTAGTTGGAAGACAATTGATGCAGGACTATGTCCCTTTCGGGGTGATATTTAAGTCACGCATGCTTGAATGCAGAAGAGGGACCTAAATGTTATTTGAGACAGGGGTCTCATCCGTGAATACCAACAAAAAAAATCATTGAATTCTACAGCGACACGTGCCGGAGGAAGGATTATACCATCCTTGGATAATGAAACCGTCGAATTTGATGCGTAATTGGGGTTGAGAACTTTTCAAACCTTTTGCGTGTCACTGCGAAGCATGTTTGAAATGTCGTGGCTAAAGAATTTATCTTTCGCTCTTGTTATCTCGGTCTTGCATAAGTGTGCATGCTCACGATATAGTCTCCAATCTTCCTCAGATGCCGATAGTTTGGCTTTCAAGTATAAACGTCTCTCTTTGTTTATAGTGCATTTTACATGCTTCGTAAACCAAGCGCTTTGCGTACTGGTCCTTACCTTAACTCTAGGAATGTGCTTTTCTTTTAGTGTGATCATTTCGTCACGAAGGAGTGTCCATTTGTATTGAGGTCACGGCGATGAAATGATTGTAAAAGTTCCATAAAAAATACAAACATATTTGTGACAAGCCCATCTACATTCGCTCGAGTATAATCAAATATTACTTTCTTTATCTTTTCACGCTTTTTGACAGTGAATATGACTTCACAATGCTAAATATTATTGCCACTGAAACCGTCCAGAACATGTACCGAAACATTATTCGGTTCCGTAGTTAATATAAGGTCTAAAACCGAATCCACCTGATTGGGAACAGAAACCACTTGGTGCAAATCAAACGACGCGAGCACATCAAGAAAATGTTGACATTCACCTTTTCCTGTGCCATTCAGAGGGTCTGCATAATTGCCACTCAATATTCGGATAATTGAAATCGCCGGCAAGAAATGTCGGCGATGTTGGGTATATACTTTAAACAAAAGCCGAAGACTCATTTAGGTAATCGGGAAATTTGCGGGATGAATTAGGTATCCCAATCACGCATACCCCAATGACGCAGGTATTCCGAATAGGCAGACAAAGTGCAATCTACAAGATTTTGAGGCAAGAATTAGTCTCAATAACGCGAGCTTCTAATACAGCTTTTACAGCGACCAACACACCACCCGCTCTCGATTCTTCCATACATCTTTTCTAAACAACAAAAATTCACGAGAAAAGGACAATTGATGACCAGAAAGTTCATGTGTCAACAACGTTAAAGTGCCAAGAACTATGTCTGCCGAACATGATTCTACATACAAACACAGGTGATCTTGCTTTAGAAAGATACTGCGAAAGTTTGACACAAAAATGGACAGATGCATATCACAGTGTTCATGCTTCCGTCACTACGTTTTCGCGGGGCCTTGACGCTTCGGCAGGGTAGTTGCTTCGTTAAAAGTATGATCCAAAACATACATTAACCAAAAGAACAAGCCCTCAAACTTCCCTTTTTTTCAAACAGTGAATTCTTTGAGAGACAGTTTTAACATTGACCATGATATACCCAGTTAGGGAGTGAAGCATCTGGCGCAATGGAAGAGTTGCCCCATGGTGACATGGTTAAATTGAACCCAGGCCTGTGAAGTGACACCTGAAAAGCGTTAAACTGGCTTTCAAACAAGCAGTTACTAGACTGTGTTTACTTCAGCCATCATGTTCTACGCCAGCGCCACGGTGCAGTTCAGGTGCCATTTTCATCTCGGAACTCGTATTAGCCATGACTGTACACATGCAGCTAGCCTATAATCGGCACCAATTCATTCACCTGCAACTAACAGCAAAGATCCCACGATCATGCATCCATACCTGCACTCACAGAAAAGTAGAAACGTTAGTTAACCTGACCATGAAAAGGCATTTTCATCAGAACGGATACGTCATGCAAAGTGACTGTCAACAGAGAGTGGAAAACATTTCAGGTTGTTTACATCGAGTCTCTCTTGACATTCCTAAACAATGAGGTCATGCTGTAACTTGTCCAGATGTAGTTTTGTGATAGTTACGTAATATTGGCAGTAAAACAGTGCTAGCAAAAACAACAAACTAGATGATAATAAAACACAAAATCTATGTTTTCATGATACCTTCATAATCTTGCTCGAAAAGAAATGCCAGAGATGAAGAGTGGTTTTTTCGTGACTAACAACGCTCGGATCTTCTTCCCGATCTGTGGTGGTTATATGCCAAACGGGTCCTTTTATACAAATCCTAGTATCTCCCGGCCTTTAGTAAGAGCGTACTAACGCTGAAGTATAAGTCAGAAGCACCTCATCGCCCCTCTGGTCCGCCGTTAGAAGCCAGAGGCCTCATCGAAGGGGCACCCCACCTTAACCTCATCGTGCCCCCCCCCCCCCACGTAGGCTCTCCTTTACCAGAAAAAATAGATAACATGAAACAACTAGGAGATTTATTTAACTGCCCATCTCTTACCATAACACTCTACCTTCATTTTTGAACAGAACGTAAAAAATATAGCAAATCGGGGTGCATCTGCTTTATTTAGCACACCCCCTGCGCTTCATGGTGACCTCGTATGCCCCTGCAGGGCGAGGCTTTAGAAAACCTACAGATCGGGGAAGGGGAGCGTCTGAACGTGTCCTGGCAGCACTACGATTGCCGCGCGTGGTCCGTGGGCTGAACTCGGCCTACGGCCCCAGTTAAAACCAGCATAAAGATGAAACACGGCGTGATGGTGGGTATATTCTCTCTTGTCTTTTCCTGGCAGCAAGCCGTGTGAGAGAGGATGTCGTGCTTTGAACCACACGAAGGAGTTATTGGTCCTAGGAACCGGTTTCTAGGTTATTCACTCGCCCCAGCGATTGCACCTTGATTAAGACTAAGTGAAAATAAGCATTTCAGACAATCGCAAGCACTCACAGTGCGTAACCATGTGCTTTTGGGAACCCCTTCTTTTCTGTAGTGAAGATGGAGATTGTTGGTGGATAGTACAGCTTGGACTAAGCGACAAAGAGAAGAGTTGAGCGATGGTCATGTTTCTCGTTACATTTGAAGT